GCTCGCTATGCAGTTTATCACCGTTTTTGGATGATGAAGGCATTCTTCGGGTTGGTGGAAGGTTGGAGCATGCTATGCTACAAATGGATGCGAAACACCAAATGATATTGCCTTATAATGATCCTTTGGTGAAATTGCTATTTAAGACAGTTCATGAAGAAAATAAACATTGTGGAGCTCAAGCCTTGTTAAACGCAATAAGACAGCGATTCTGGCCAATAAAAGGCAAGATAACAGAAAGGTCTACCGTTCAAAGATGCATAAAATGTAATAGAGCGCGACCACAACTGTATCAACAAATAATGGGAAATTTACCAGCAACAAGGGTAGTTCCTGCTCGACCATTTATCAACTCTGGGGTCGACTACTGTGGGCCATTTTGGATCCATTACAAAGTCAGGGGCAAGCGACCAACAAAGGCTTATGTCGCTGTATTCTGCTGCTTTGCAACAAAGGCTGTTCATTTGGAGCTCGTATCGGACCTATCAACCGAATCATTCATTGGCGCTCTTAAACGATTTATAGCTCGCAGAGGTCACTGCCAAAATATATATTGCGATAACGCTACAAACTTTGTTGGAGCCAAAAATAGTTTAGAGGAATTATCTGAAACCTTATATTCGGACAAGGCGCAAGAGCTACTTTTATCAGCTGCAAGTTCCAAGGGCATACAGTTCCATTTCATTCCACCAAGAGCTCCGCATTTCGGAGGCTTATGGGAAGCTGCAGTAAAGTCCGCAAAACGTCTCTTGGTCCGTAGTGTTTCAACGGAAACACTTACTCATGAAGAATTAGAGACAATAATAGTAGAAATCGAAGCTATTTTAAATTCGCGTCCGCTCACACCTCTTTCAAACGATCCAGATTGCCTTGATGCATTGACGCCGGTACATTTTCTAATCGGCGAAGCTCTAACTTCGCAGGTAGATAGTAGAGCAGAAACTTCGAAAACATCCAGGATAACACACTGGAAGTTAATTTCGCATATTAAGCACCAATTCTGGAAAAGGTGGTCGGAAGAGTACCTACAAGAACTCCAGCAACGTAACAAATGGAGGCAAAAGATGCCCAATCTTAGAAAAGGAGATATGGTCATTATAAAGGAAGACAATCTACCTCCAATGAAGTGGCCATTAGGGAGAGTTCTTAACGTATTTTTCGGTGATGACGGAGCTGTAAGAGTTGCTGAAATAAAAACCTCAACCGGGGTATTCAAGCGGGCCATCCATCGACTAGCACCACTGTTTCCAGAAGATCATGATAATGCTATAATTGACAAAGATACAACTCAAGAAAGCACAATTTCCCACAAGAAAAAATCGGTAACAGATGAACATGGAAGAGATGCCATTCCGGCAAAAAGAGTGAGAATTGCAAACAGTCCTATAATACTATCAGTATTATTAACATTGTTCCTAATACCTATGGTCCTGTGCAACAATTTGAAAGTTACACAATTTCACAATGATCCAGGATTGTATTTTGAAGGGTTAGGAACAATGAAATTGAATACAGCAGAATGGAAGATGTTAGTATATTATGACTTAAAGCCCTTTGTTTCGGAAATAGAGTCATTGGCATCCGGCTTACAAACGTTGCAGCAAATGTGCCATGTAATGCATCAGCATGAGATGTGCAACATTTTTGTAAACAACCTGAAGCAGACGAAAAATGAATTACTACAAGACAAAGAATTATTCATCAACAAACGTGTAAAAAGATCTCCATTCAACACAATTGGGAATATTGCGCACTCACTTTTTGGCGTTCTTGATACGGACTATGCGGAAGAAATGTCAAAGACTATCAACCAGGCAAAAGGCGAACAGGACCACATAATCAGTCTATTGAAAAATCAGACTTCAATAATTGATTCAACTATTAATGTTATAAAAAGAGATGAGATTAACACTCATCAAAAAATACGGGAGATTTTGAAAATGATTGACAAACACAATAACGATATAGCTGAAGAATCCGCCCAGTTCAACAATTCTCAACTGTTTGGACTTCTATCAACGCATTTGATGTTATCCGCAATAAAGCTACAGAGAACACAGGCCGAAATCCTTAATGTACTTACGGATACTCATCATGGAAAAATAAGTCCCCTGTTATTGGCTCCTCAACAATGGAAAGAAGAAATTAGTGTCATTAAGGCTAATCTTCCAATTTCACATGCGTTGCCAACATCAGGTGACAATTTGATTCAACTTTATAAGCTTATGAGTGTCAAAGGGGCAGTTACAAAATATGAAATCATTTTTGAAGTGAAGATACCCTTAGTTAACCAACAGTTTTTTGAGTTGTTCAAAATAGTTGCAGTTCCAACAATACAAAATGACACCTTAATCGCCATTCAACCAGAAACGGAATACATATCTACCGATGCACATAGAGAAGAATATATTCTTGTCAAATCAGAGGATATCTCAAGCTGCCTCAAACCAAACGATGATGAATATATTTGCAGAAATCAGCAGTCAAAGCTCAAGAAAAATGCACTTGTTAACCCTTGCGAGATCAATATCTTGAATAACCAATCAACTAGCATTTGCCGTCTTCACAAAATTACTGGAACAGCAGTTTGGAGTCAATTACATCATCAAAATAAATGGATCTTTGCTACTACAGCCGATATTGAATCTTCAATGGTATGCGGATCTGAAACCAACCTCATCATCATTAAAAATTCCGGAATAATGGAAATTGGTCCTACCTGCGTAATAAAAAACAAATTTGTTACGATACATGGACATTTTGCAGCTTCCAGTAGTTTACATACATCCTATGTAAGATTGAAAGGCATTCAATATATAAGTCGACAAGAGGAAATTGAAAAGGTTTCAACAAATACCAATACCACCTCTTACAAGATTCATCAAGAAGAATTGGATAATATACAAAAACAGTTGCATGAATCGACTCTAAAACACCTACCACAATTAATTCACTCATCAAATCAACATCATCAAGCAGTTAGCTACGCATCTTTAGCTTGCTGCATTCTTATTTTACTTGGCCTGCTGAGTTGGAGGATCCACACAAAATTTAAGAAGCCATCTCAATTCATACCTACACCAGCTATAAGATCTCATCAATCAACAATCGATGTTACAATGGAGGCATTCCCACATGCATCCAACCCAGGCGCAATCATTGAACAATGTCAACGCGGCGGAGAATGTTAAAACATACATAAATATTTTTTTTTATTGTTCTATAAACATACTTTAGATTTAATTACCAAAAACAAACAATAAATACAAAATCAAACACACCTACATATTTATACGTTTTAAAACTGCTTATATAGCATTATTATATCACATATTTGGACTATTTTATTGTTACAGTTAATTTTCTTTATTTTAGTTCATTGGCCATTGGTTCATTCACTTTTTGCAATGTTTTAAAGTTTCTTTAACACATTTATTTATTTTGCTTACATAGCATTTAATGTCTACTAGTAACCGACCTACATTACAATTAATTTATATCAGCATTTATCAATAGCATTTTTTAATTAATTATGTTAAGAAATTATGTATATAAAGACAGCCAGAAATAAAGAAAATTCAGTCGTCTTTTGTAGTGACTAAACTAAGAGTTTTAATTACTATCTAGGCGGCTTCCTTCAAGTTCATGTGCTTGGAAGGAAATTAATTTGGATACTAAGTGTCAGTTCAAATTTATGTGTTTGGATTGAATCGCACTAGATCCTACTATCATAACATATACATTATGGGGTCTGCGACGAATAATTAGACATGTTACAAAGGGAATGACAAAGTTAATACACCCTCCTTTCCAAGGTGGAGGGTATAATAAAAGTGAATGCTATTGAATTATTCGAAAATAAAATATTTAAGAATTGGGTTTCGATAAATTTGAAGTGACGAATTATGTGAAATGTTTTGAATTTTGATGGAAGTATTTAACTGAATGAAAAAACAAGTAAAAAGCAGTATGTTCGGCCTGGCCGAACTTTGAATACCCTCCACCATTTAGAACGAATTTGAAATTTTTCGAAAAAGATAACATTCGCTAAAAATTCTGTTAACATTTTAAAAATAACGAATATAGCCGTTATATTAGGGCCTGTACGACGTGCACCCACATAGGCATTGTTTGTGACAAGCCATTGCCATATTCAAATTCGGAACTTGAAATAAACGGTGAATAATGACGCTAAAATCATCAAAATACCGAATATAAGGAGGTACTGATATATGGGGGCTATACGAAGACCTGGACCTGCATAGGCAATTTTCTGTCAGAGACCGTAGTTCCCATTGGGAACTCTGTAGTTCCTATTACGAACTCTAAATACGTAATTTGAAACTACTACGGTGAATAATGACGCTATAATCATGAAAATACTGAATATTGGGAGGTACCGTAATATGGACATAGACAATTTTGTGCCTTAGGCTGTACTATCCATTTCGAACTTCAATCACCAAATCTGAAACAATTCCGATAAAAAATGTCCCTAAAATCATCAAAATACCGAATATAGGGAGGTACCGCTATGTGGGGGCTATACGAAGGCGTGGACCAGCATGGCCATTTACAAACTTAATATGCCTACTGGCAAAATAAACATGCGTGCAAAATGTTAGCCTTCTATTTCACTTCGTTCGAAAGATAGAATGATTACAACAGACAGACAGACGGACACGGCTAAATCTTACGCTGATCAAGAATATATATACTTTGTTGGGTCTAAGGTCGTTATTTCGATGAGTTACAAACGGAATGACAAAATGAACATACCCACTATAGTATGGTGGAGGGTATAAAAAGAAAAATATAAAAGATAAATTGAGAAAGTTATTCAAATCGGACGCACATGTTCGGTGTGATTGCCTAAAAATTATTTTTTTCTCTATTCGTTCCAAATTTAATTTTGAATTTGATTTAAAGTTTCCTCTTTTTCATCGATAACTAATACTCACACTTTCTATTCTTATCTTTTCAGATTGGTGACTGCCTAGATTTGGATTGGAACGAAAGGTAAGATTGAGACACATGATATTTTCGTTTGCTATAGTGATACCCTCAACTAGGTCCACACTTTGGCCAGATTGTTGGATACGACATCATTTCAAATTTAGATGTGTTTCATCGTGTCTTATCGATTCCAGACTCTAACGTCATAAATCGATGACTGACAGCTCTGCGACCTTGTGTACAACACTCTTCTGCCTTGTGCCATAGTTGCGTATGGGAATATAAAGGAAGAGTGCACAAATGGTCAAGGACAGTCACAACGTGACTGCTCAGGAATCGAAGACATATTGTTAGAGTCTGTAAATCTGGTATGCTTCCGTTCGTAATCCAACGAATTCTTTCTGACAACTGCTGTTGTGTCTAGGGGAGTTGCCTCCTTTGGTTACAAGAAAAAGTTTTCCATGGTCTCAACGATCAAAAAAGATAACTAGGGAAGTTACTCAAATTGGATATTTAATTCACAGAAGGTAAGTATATATAGAAATGCTGAAAATTGTATAAAAAGTATTAATAAGTTATTTTTTTATCTTTCCAGGCATTCATTACGTTTAGGCGATAGAATCTGCCTGTACTACAACAACAGGAAATTACACATGATTCATGTAATTCTGCGCTCCTTTTTTCTTCAGACTTTCAGCTTTTGTCAGAATGTCGGATACGATGGTTTGCAAATGCACTGAGGTGTATTTGTTCTTTTTGTCTTCTGGCTTCCAGACTCTAGTGTCGTAAGTCGGGTAAAGTACGGATCTGCGACCTCGAGTACAACAGTTCCCTGTCCCGTGCCAAAGAGCGAACGACTACGGCTTCACCGCGAAAGGGGAATTGCACTAATGGTCAAAGACAATAACCTTGTGACTGCTCCGGATGCGCAGACATCAACTAGAGTCGGTAAACCCAGAGTGCTTTCATTCGTACTCGCAATCCTGACGTACTTCGCAATCCTGACATCTGCTGTTAGAGTCTAGAAGATTGGACGCCTGTTCGAATGAAACAACAGGGTTCCGAACTACACCATCATCAAATCTTCTACCCGAGACTTATAGAGGACGTACTGTCAGAGCTTCTAAACTAAACGTAAGATGTTGTGTTTAATTTCAATTTAATTTCTTTTAAAATGCAACCCTTTGTTCTTTTTCTTCAATTTATCAAATACCATTTTATTCAACTTAGTGATGACAAGTTGTTAGTGATGACAAATTGTAACGAGCAAAGATGATCAATTTGCGCCTCTCTTGTGACATCTAGGCTTGCTCGCTACTTTTTAACTTACTTGTTATTCGGATTTTCGTCCAACAAAATCATCTTCACAACACTCATTGTCCAAAAGGTAAAGTTATATTAGTTTTTCGACTAATAAAATATTCAATAAAACCGCCAATTTTTATTATTTAAAATTTTTAATTACTTGTGTTTTATTTTCCTTTTTTCATTTTCGCTGCTTCACAACATTTTTGGTCTCTTCGAGCCGAGATACGTGCTTCCAGCAACAAAAAAATAATCTGCTTTTTCTTCCCCTTTTTGAAAAAGCTTTGACTTCGTCAACAACCAGTGCCTTTATCCATCCATCAAACACTCGCAGCCTATCCATCCCTTCACATATTTTCATATTAATGGACATCTCATCAATAAGAAGGTACGTACCATCTTTTGAGAGAGCATAAACCGCGAGTGTTTCGTTTTGAAATAAAAATAATATTACAAAAACAACGAACAAAGTGCTTAACTACGGTTTTACAAGTGTCCGTCCGTCGGTAATTCGTTTTGTTCATATATTTCCAACAGTGCCGGTTTGTTAATCCGTATAATAAATCTCTTCAAGAATATTACACTCTTAATATACGCGCTCTTAGTGAAGAAAACTCAGTAAAAAGTGCAATACATAGGCATTGATCAGTGATCTTTATTGTGGTTGTATTTGGCTATTTTGTGATCTTTGCATAAAGAAGAACAAAATAAACAATAACAACATTACTGTTGGATATAACAACAACAATACAATCACATAATAGTGCTGTGTACTCTGTGGCTGGTTGATTTGTAATAGGTAATCAGTAACCAAGTACAGGGTGTAATAGGTCTGTTCGGGCAAAAATTGGAAAATTTGTTTATTAGGTCTGTTCGGACCAAAAATTAAATTAATTTTTTTTGGAAACATACGGTTCAGTTGGAAATAGTTCAGGTCCGTATAGAGTGCACCCTACATTCGGTCGTTCGATATTTAATAATAATTTTCGTTATTATTATATAGTCTAAAAATATAAATTAAATATTTTTAATTTTTTGAATATTTATTTGAGTTTTTTGTCCTTTTTGTCCGTGTACCCTACAATCAGTAATAAATATTGATTTTTATTGATTTTTTGCAATTTTTTGGCGATTTGTTTTGGCTTTTAAATTATTTATTTTCGGAAATAATTTTGTTGTGTATATTTCGATACACAAATCAAATTCTCTGTATTTTTCGATACACTGAGAAAAAAATCGTGTAGTTTTCTGCACATAGCGAAACATACTTTGCCAAATTAGCAAAAACTTTTTCAAGTTTTTTTAAATATATACTTTTTAATACTCATAAAAAAACCAAGTGTGTATTATTCGATACACAGTGAAAATCTTTTCGATTTTCATTACACCGAGAAAATTTATGGACATTTTCTCCTTACTTTTTTATTGAAATTTTCAAAAACAAAAACAAATTATTTTCTTATTTGGGTGTTGTATTTGTTAGCATTCTCTAACAAATAAAATCATTTTCGTGCTCTTCTAATATTTGCAATATAAATATAAATAATTCCATTCAATTTTCGTTGAGTTTTACCAATTTTACGTTGGTTTACATTGATTTTGCGATTTTTAAATTCATTTCTTGTTCTCTTTGGTTGAATTCATAAAGCTTTATACTTTACAATGCCACTATCTCCACTTGATTTCTTTATCAGAACAACTGATGCTCTGGTAAAATTTGAAGCCAGCTTTACTTATCTTCGAGAGGAAGAGTTGGACATATATTCCCTTAATGTTCAAGCCGCTGAGGCAAGGGAATTGTGGAGTAAATTGAAGGAAATGTTTGACCAATGTCTTACATATCTCCAAACTTCTGAAGATGCTGAAAGCGAAGACATCACATCTGCAGAAAGTAAATAAGACTTTGCGTATAGGGCATATGTAAACTTCATTGCTTCTATAAATCGTAAATTGGAACAATTACGTGCCATACAAAAAATTCTAACCCTTCCTTAATTCAAAGTTTGAATAGTAACCAGCAGTCTCAACGCTCGAATTCACATGTTTCACATGTAACTAGCACTCCAAGAGTAGTTTCTCCTCCTCATTCAGAAATTTTGCTTCTGTCTGGCGTTTCGCGCCATACGGAACCGTCAGTTGAAGTTTTCGCTTCAAATGACAATGTAATGCATAGTCTGAATCTACCGCCATGCGATATAGATGTTTTCAATGGCGATTTCCTTTCCTGGCCTTCCTTTAGGGATCTGTTTTCTGCAGAATACATCAACAACAGTCGACTTAGTAACATTGAAAAATTATGTTATTTACTTAAAAAAAAACCAGAGGGGAAGCAAAAGACATCATTTCAAAGTTTCCGCTGACACACAAAAGTTTCGCTTTAGCGTGGCAGGCCTTAAAAGAGACGTATGACAATGTCCGAATCTTGGTTAACAAACAATTGAAATTGCTCTTTGATCTTCCAGTTCTCGATAATGAGTCCAGTGCTGGTTTGAAAAATCTACAACGAGCAATCAATGGATGCATTTCGGCTATAGCGATCTATGACGTTTCTACGAACGACTGGGATCCCATATTAGTCTTCATATGCATTCAAACATTGCCTAAGCACACGGTCTCGCTTTGGGAGCAGACGGTCAAAGACAAGTCGGCTTTGTCTGATTGGAAGGATTTGTATCGTTTTCTTACGGACAGGATCCAGACCCTTACTTGTCTGCGAGACATTCGTGGCATTGACTCGTCAAAAAAGGTTGAGAAAAAAGTGCGGACTCACCTAAGAAAGTCCGTACCTTCTGTGTCTTCTAGCGCTTCTTCCTTTAAATCTTGCTTTCTCTGTCCTAAATTGGTTCATCCATTGCATCATCATCAAATGCTTCAATTGTTGTCTGAACTGTCTGACGGTTGGTCGTGAAGTTAAAAAATGTGTATGTAAACACAATTGTGGGAAATGCAATAAGCGACATCACACATTTTTACATCGTGAGATGTCAAATCAATCAAATTTTACACCAGCAGCGACTCCGTCGCAAACAATTCCTAACCAATCCATCAATGCGAATCCAAATATTCCCTCGACTTCGTCAGGTATATCCCACTCTGTCAATAGGCAAGTGTATCATATTTCGCAAAACAAAAATGTTGTTTTGGGTACCTCAATGGTGAATTTAATTCACCAAGGCATCACATACCCTGTTCGTGCCCTGATCGACCCAGCTTCTGAAGCGTCTTTCATCTCTGAAAATTTGCAACGTCATCTTGGTATTGCTACTACGTCGACCCAAGCTACGATTTCTGGATCATTGGATCATTACTGGTCCCATTCCCAATTCTACAATTACGGTTTTAACAACAACTATCAACTTTCCGGAAGAAGATCTTAACAAGACTCTTCTTCGATTCTGGGAATGGGAAGAACCTCCAAAACGCGCTATCTTGTCTGCTTCGGACAAATTCTGTGAGGAAAATTTCAAAAAGACGACTCGACGGGACTCAGAAGGCAGATATATTGTCACACTTCCTATTATTCCTGAATTCGCAGGCCAACTTAGTCATTCTAGGACCAATTGCTTACGACAATTCTTTCGAAACAAGGCGTCACTCCTAAGAAAACCGCAAATTAAAACCATTTACGATGGGGTGGTCCGGGAATATTTATAATTAGACCACATGAGACTGGTTTCGACTTCGTTAGCAAGCTCTACAGTTTGCTATCTTCCTCACCATCCGGTTATTAATCCGGGTAAACAAACAACAAAATTGCGAGTGGTTTTCAATGCCTCGAACAATACTTCCAACGGAAGTAGTCTTAACGATATTCTCTATGTCGGTCCAACTCTTCCAGTTGGACCTAGTCCTTCTTCTTCTAAGATGGAGACTTTTCCAATTTGTATTCAATTGCGACATTACGCAAATGTACTGGCAGATTCGGGTCGATACTGCTCATACTCCTCTCCAACGAATTTTATTTCGGGATTCTCCCAACAAACCGGTTCAAGACTTTGAACTTCAAACGGTAACCCTCGTAGTAAACTTTGCTCCTTATCTTGCGATTCGGACTTTACTTCACTTGGCCGATGATACAGAAAATGAATTTCCGCTAGTTGGACATATCCTTCGGAAGTGCATGTACGTAGATGACGTCTTGGCCGGTTATCACGATTTGTCTCCAAATCGTCAAAAATCAAGACACCAACTCATTGGTGCTCTTTCTTCCGCGATGTTTGAACTTCGTAAGTGGACAGCCACTAATCGAGGAATTTTAGATTGTCTTCCCTTAGACTACCTATATGATGCTAAGCTTCTCACTTTCGTGGAAGCTAGTAGTTCAAAATCGCTGGGCATTCGTTGGAATGCACAGTTAGACCATTTCTAATTCAGCGTTAACCCGCTGGAACACCGGTCCAAATATACTAAACGGGAAGTTTTGTCAACCATCGCCAGGCTCTTCGATCCAGTAGGATGGTTAGGACCAGTAATTGCTGTAGCAACAATCATCATGTAGCGTATTTGGCTAGACAACATTGGTTGGGACGATTCGCTTCCGTCTTCGACAGAACGCGAATGGGAAAAATTTGTGATTTCTTATCAGGGTGTTAGTTCCATATCCATTCCTTGTTGGGTCCAATATTCACCTCTTTGTCATGTCGAACTTCATGTCTTTTCCGATGCCTCGGAAAAGGCATACGCGGGGGTAGCGTACATTCGTGTCGTTGCTTCAAATGGGAAAATTTTCTCAAATTTGCTGACTTGCAAAACAAAAGTAGCTCCGCTTAAGTCCATTTCCCTACCTCGTTTAGAATTATACGGTGCTGTATTAGCATCAGAACTTGTCAAGGGTATTTTGAGTGAAATTGACATATCTTTTGTTGGACCGATTCTACGATCGTCCTTTCTTGGCTTCAAAAGACTCCATATACATGGTCTACTTTCGTTGCAAATAGGGTATGTCGCATTCAAGAGAATGTTGGGCAAAACAAATGGTTTCATGTTCGATCTGAGGACAATCGTGCTGATTTAGGTAGTAGGGGGCTTTCTCCTTCGGAGTTGGCCTCTTCTCAAATTTGGTGGCACGGTCCTCATTGGCTAAGCCTTAATAGTTCTAATGGGGAAATTCAAAATGTTTCTGTTG